ACACACACACACACACACACACACACACACACACACACACACACACACACACACACGTTACATACATATATACAGTGAAGGAAATCATTTTTTGATCCCTTGCTGATTTGTTTAAGTTTGCCCACTGACAAAGACATGAGCAATCTATAATTTTAAGGGTAGATTAATTTTAACAGTGACACATAGAATATCAAAAATAAAATCCAGAAAATCACATTGTATAAATTATATAAATTTATTTGCATTTTGCAGCGAGAAAAAGTATTTGATCCCCTACCAACCATTAAGAGTTATGACTCCTACAGACCAGTTAGACGCTCCTTATCAACTCGTTACATGTATTAAAAACAGCTGTCTTAAATTGTCACCTGTATAAAAGACTCCAGTCCACAGTCTCAATTATTCAGTCAGACTCTAACCTCTACAACATGGGCATGACCAAAGAGCTGTCTAAAGATGTCAGGGACAAGATCATAGACCTGCACAAGGCTGGAATGGGCTAAAAACCCATAAGTAAGACGCTGGGTGAGAAAGAGACAACTGTTGGTGCAAAAGTAAGAAAATGTAAGGCAACTGGAACCACAGTCACCAAGAAAACCACTGGTAACACATTACGCTGTAATGGATTAAAACCCTGCAGTGCACGGTCCCCCTGCTCAAAAAGACATGTGCAGGCACGTCTGAAGTTTGCCAATGAACACCTGGATGATTCTGAGTGATTGGGAGAAGGTGCTGTGGTCAGATGAGACAAAAATTTAGCTTTTTGTCATTAACTCAACATGCCATGTTTGGAGGAAGAGAAATGTTGACTATGACCCAAAGAACACCGTCCCCACTGTCAAGCATGGAGGTGGAAACATTATGTTTGGAGGTGTTTCTCTGCTAAGGCCACAGGACTACTTCACCACATCAAAGGGAGAATGGATGGAGCCATGTACCGTAAAATCCTAAGTGACAACCTCCTTCCCTCCGCCAGGACATTGAAAATGGGTCGTGGCTGGGTCTTCCAGCACGACAATGACCCAAAACATACAGCCAAGGCAACAAAGGAGTGGCTCATAAAGAAGCACATTAAGGTCATGGAGTGGCCTAGCCAGTCTCCAGACCTTCATCCAATCGAAAACCTATGGAGGGAGCTGAAGCTACGAGATGCAAAGCGAAAGTCTCAAAATCTTAATGATTTAGAGATGAGGTTCGATCCCCAGTCACTGCACATCACGTGGCGTCTCTGGGCAGCACGCCTCATCCCCAAAAATGCCCCCCGGGCGCTTTCAATAGCTGCCCACTGCACCACCTGGTGGTGGATGGGTTAAATGCAGAGACTAATTTCGCCATTGTATGGAAACATACAGTGCTGACATTGTGATGACATTATTATTATTATTATTATGATCTGCAAAGAGGAGTGGACCAAAATTCCTCCTGACAAGTGTGCAAACATTATCATCAACTGCCAAAAAACATCTGACTGATGTGCTGCCAACAAGGATTTTCTTCCTGTGCTCGAGCATCAATGTGTGGCATGGAGGCTGCACAGCTGCAGAAAGAAAAGCTTTGCAGAGAGTGGTGAAGGCTGCACAGAAATCTGTTGGAATCAGTCTCCCCACCATCACAGACATCTACAC